TAGCAACACCAACCATCGGGCCCTTTTGAATGATCCCCTAGTTAAGAGACCAGCGCCGCAATCAGCAAGCATTTATATTTTGCACTACACAACTATATCTCAGGAAAAGGAGTGCGGGACTTTTGGCTCGTCCGGGCTGGCACGCGGCGAATTGCGCGGCGGCATGCGCGGCGATCCGGACAGGACAAGGCTTCGCGGTTCTGCAATAGAATTTAACACTTCAAAGGGTGTCGTGATTGTGGAAAAACTTTGAACAAATCTGCGGTTTGGAAAATTGAAAAATTCTACAAACGCGGAGATCTCAATGCAGCTGAGTCAAATGGAAGGAGATTTCAGCGCAGTGAGAGAACCTTCACGGAAATGTAACTACTACCATCAAACCGTATAAGAAACAATAAAACTAAAATTACTGAGCTGGGGTTTTTTAGTGTCATCTATATATACTGCTCGTGCTGATCGCAATATATACTGATCGCGGCCTTCATATCCTTATTGGGAACATTCAAAACAGGACCAGTGGTAGGTAGGTGACACTAGGACTAAGCCCAGGAGAGGGAGGAAACCCCACACAGAAAACACAAGTTGCCTCCCCAGAATCCCTTCCCCTCCCTAAAGTTCACTTCCAAGCACAGTAATTGGCTCACTCACTCCCCCCCCAATGGAACGTCCCCCCAACGACATGAGCGCCCTGGTCGCTAAAATAGCACTATGCTAGTACTTTCTTATCTCTTTCTTCTTAAGTTCCCTTACCATCACCGCTGTCCCTAAAATTCCACAGTTGGAATGTACCCTATTTTCCGGTGTATAAGCCCCCGCTAGTATCATGTAAAAACACCTCCACTGGTGCAGTGTACTTGAGTACATCTAGAGTCAACCGTAACATGCCCATAGGGGTAATTCGATATGCTGATTACGAAAACGACATTCATTTTTAGCGGTGGCGCCATCTGGCGCCAGTTGGCGCCACCTTGTCACGACCCTTGTTTTCACCAAAATCGGTGTAAACTTCAGTATAGGGGTTATTTGGGACCCTGATTACGAATATGACATTCGTTTTTGGCGTTAACGTTGTTTAGTGCACATGTCTCGGTTGGAGAGCGCAGACGAGCAGAAAATAGGCGTCAAACAGCGCCAGCGCCTATAATGAATGTCATATTCGTAATCAGGGTCCCAAATAACCCCTATACTGAAGTTTACACCGATTTTGGACGAAAACAAGGGTCGTGACAAGGTGGCGCCAGATGGCGCCAGCGCTGAAAATGAAAGTCATTTTCGTGATCAGGGCATCGACTTACCTCTATAGGCAAATTTGCGGTGGTTTCTAAGGTGTACAAAGTTACACTGCACGAGCGGAGGTGGTTTTACGTGAAATCGGCGCGGGCTTATCTACCGGAAATTAGGGTAATTCAAATCGCAGAGCCTTCGCAATCTACACACGCTGTGACGTGTTGAATTTCACTGCAAAAGCCCGCAAAGCGTCCGGATCGCAGCGCAGTTCGCCGCGCAGTTTGCCGCATGCCAGCCCAGACGATCCAAAGGTCCGTCGATCTGGCGCAGGGACTTCCCATCGAGAGTGATTGAATGTTAATGATGAGGTTGAACTTTGCAGCTCGTATCGTCTTTGCCGATGCTATTGAGCCAATAGCTCAGTGCCCGATCAGTAGCAAAGACTGGGCAAACACAGCGCTGATCTTGCCTACCGCGCTCCTTGCAAGGTTCTTCTTAAATGTCGTAAAGCATAATCGTTTATTTGGTCGTTGATCTATTCGACTCCTAGTTAGTTATCCCCTTGCAGATTCTGAATCTGAATCCTCTCGCTATAGATCTCGATATTCTTTGACACATTAACACATTGACGCCCAGGCGCGTCGGAACTTTAGCACCGCATCGGACATTCTGCGCGTCAGAACTATGTTGTTCATTTTTATTGTGCTTGCGCTCCTTCTTCTCGAGTTTTTTTTTTGCATTCATTCTATAGATAATACATTAGCATAACTATAAACCACATGGCAGCCAGAGTGGTCAAATATCCCTTGATTTAGCAAAGATTTTCTGAACGCACAAAACTTTCATTTCAATTCTTTCCTAGTATTCCTTTCACTGTCGTAAACATTCATATGAAAGATTGTAGAAGCAGTTAATACAAAACTCTGTGAGTTTCAAGATATTTGTATTTGATGGAAGAACTTAGGTATAAATGCTTTTAACTTCATTCGCAGCGAAAGTGATGTTTTTTGCTTCTTCGTGGTCATTATGCGTTCTTCTAAACAAAAATCTACTGCCATTTATACAGTTTAGCTATAGTATAGTTAACCTTTGTGCTTTCATCCTTGCCGAAATAATTGTGTGATATTCAATTTTTTGTGCATTTTAAACAAAAAATAAGCGGAAGTAAGGTGAGGACGGCGCGCTCGCAAAATCGCTCCTGTCCCACGCGGTGCAAAATGCCAAAACACGCGATGTCGTCAACGTGTTATATTGGCGCTGGTTTAACTTGAAGGATTCCATTTGTAGAGAAATGGGATAGAAGTTATCTTGGGAGACAATGAATTTTATTCTATCGAGTGAATGTCTTCCCTAATTGCAATAATTTACTATGAACTCATGCGCTTCTCCGAATTCCGTCGAAAATATGGCTCAAAATTTATTGCTTACAAGAGAGCCGAATGGTTACCTATTCTTTCACACTTTCATCTTCTTCATTGCATTCAATTACTTTTAAACTATCTACAAAAATTTTGTGTATTTACAGGGATATTTTTCCTACAGGGATATTTTTGCTTTGAGCCGAAGTTTGCTCGGAATTCTATTGGAGCAGGAGCCCGTTCCTCCTAAGTTGAAGAAAACGGCAGCCAAGGAGACTGTAAGAGCCATTAGAAAATTGCATCAAAATAAAGTAGTAGAAAAGAAGTTTACTCAAAATCCGCCCCAAAGTTCTGACTTCAATCACCAGTCTTACTAAGCCGACCGTTCAATAGCGACTTCCCAATTATCTCGCCGAGCAGGTCAGTATAAAATGGGTGTGTTGCGATTCTCCGGGTCAGGGTCATCCAGCTCTATGGGGCAGGCTGCGCGCGGCGATCATTGGAGTATTGCCGAAACCTGCCGAAAATGAGGAACCTGTAGAAGAATTAGTTGACTGTTCTCCTATGTTTTCATTTTGACGATTTCTCCCCGTAGCCATTTAACGTGTGAGGAATATCTAAACGCTTCTGAATCATACATTCAGAACCCTTGCTCAATCCAGTGGTCACAGTTGAAGTCCAGCGATTCACGATTCAGGGCAGTTTAATCGAGAAAAGGGATCAGAATAAGTGAAAACGATGTCTTCGACGCGACCTAGGGAGCACGGCAAATTGATCTAAAGGGATAATCGCACACTTACGGTCTTTGCTGACCTGATTCTTAAGTGTAATAAGTACGTTGTCATTTCGTGCTTGACTCTACCCCTCACACAAATTGCTGAGCTTTCACGATGGTTTCTTGGAACTTAAATTTGTTGCTCATCATATCACGGAACTCTCAGCTTCGTTAGATTTTTTGACAGTTTTCAAAGAACTGTTTAAACTGTAGATCTGTAATTTCATTTGAAAACATCCATGAATTCAAAAACCTCCGCGTATCTAGGTATTTCACGTTTTCACTTTTTATTAGCTGCAAAAACGAGATTAAAATTATGCAAATTTTATTTTGGTACACTTTTTGTTTTTCAAAAGGAAGGTGTTATTCAGCAAGGGAGAAGACATGTGGTGCGACACTTCATATCACCTAGAGCCAGCAAAATGGTTCCCACACCCCACCTAAACGGCAGCAACTGTCGCACGACATGCCCCCCCCCCCTTACTGGAGACGCTGTCAATGTCAGCGCGAACAAAACATTAAGCCAGAGTGGCTGTAAAGGGGTACAATTTCGGTCTGCCTGGTAGTAGATCACCTGGCATGCGTGAATAAATGAAAGACTTAGAGAGTCGATAACTGGGGCCTCTGAACATCATAGCGCTTGTAGAAAGCTTCATTCTCGCTTCTGCCAGTGGTTATTCCGCAGAGAGCGATAGAGATGAGCATTTCGGTGCAGAGAACTGAAGACATTCAAAACTACGGTGATCGTTCTTGATTAATTAATGAACTTATTTATTTGAATGTGAATTTTTAAAAAAGTCACTTACGGCTAGTTCCCTTGTCGTATGAAGGTATGGGTTCGCTCACGAGCTTGTCCTCCAAAAATCGCTATTCCTGTGGCTCGAACGAACTATTACACTAACTCCTCACTTCCCTAATTACACGAGTGATTTGCGGAGTTCTCGGGCACAGTATCGTTATGGGGAAGAGTATTTTTGAGAAAAAGTGCTGTCGCAACCGCTTAGTTAAGCTGTTTAAAAAGTGGACCATAGAGAAATGTCACCCGGTCAATATGTCGAATTTCGGAAAAACTGTATCAAACGGACGTCCTTGCTCTCTAATGCACCCTTTAATACAAACCTCGGACCAATTTCTCTCTTAGCGATAATTTTCATGAGCTCCCTTTCTAACCTATTCTCTCAGATACTGTGACTAAATGGCACAGGACTTTCTTTAAAAAAAGCGCTATTCTTCATTGTAACTTATTTTTGTCTTTGTTCCGTCTGGGGCGAAAGTTTTGTTCACAACCCAGCATTACTCTCCATGGTTTTGTGGGCGTTTCTTCTAAAAATGCAGAAAAAAATGCGTTAAGAAAAACTAGGCTTCACAAAAATTACAACGCCAAAAGGGGTGCTCATTGTATGGCTATCAGGCCGTCTCGATGCGAGTAAGTGAAAAAGGGGGGTACGTCGTCTTCGATGACATTAAACGGTTGCTCATTCTGTGGGAAAGCAACCCCATTTCCCCACTGATTATCTTCACATGGATGTTGTAAGCGCACGGTGCGATGCGCCTACTCGATAAGAATACTTTTTGATGACACGAGCGTTTAGGCCTTGACCCGGTGAAGGGGATCGCGAACAACTAAAGACGGGTCATGTATGAAGAGGCGGTCGAGCGCATCTACTCTATCTCATACCGACTGCTCATTGCCACGTTTTTCTACGAGGATGCGGTGGTTGACGATTCTTCTGCTCCCAGCTGCATGTTTGGCGTATTGTCCAGAGTTTTTCAAGAATCAGGTGAGAATGGCGTTATATTCGCCTCTTTATGAGTATTTCCTTTTATTACACATAAGTTGTAGATCGAAATCTCGTGAATTACAGACAGCATGCTCATGTTTCGACAACCTCGATGGGTCCGTGATTCGTTGCTCTGGTCAAGAAGGTCCCATGATGGTGGAACAGATGAAGAAGTTACATTTTGAAATTCGCGAACTTACGCTGGAAAATGCGAACATCGTCGAGGTTGGTGTAGTTCTAGGCTACATATAGCCCTGTAAAGTTCATACGTTTATTGCTCTGTTAAGATCGGACCACGTGCATTCAAAAACCTTCGTATAAGGAAGCTGGTTTTGGACAAGAATCGCATCAAAGCAATACATAAGGATGCACTGCGAGGTCTAGAAAACGTTTTACAGGAGTTATCGCTCGCACAGAACAAACTCACTGAGGTAAGTTCTTGGGAGCATTTTTTGTGTTCAGAAAAATTGCCGGATGAAATTCATTGAAATTCTTTTTCATTCTGCGTACATTTTTGAGCCGTCCAGCCGTTTAGACATTTTCCGAAAAATTCGGAAAAAACATCTTTTTGATTAAGGTCATATCATTCGGGTCACCGGATTGACACGGGGCATTCCACCCTAGTGCATATTCGATTCAACAACTCACGCTACTTTTTCTCCGTAACTCCTCGAATTCGTTCTGAGCACATTCTTCAATGACTGCGAGTGTTCAGATGATCGTTATCGGGATCTCTTATGTAAGCATCAGGGAAGGCAAGCTTCACGACCAAGACACACTTCCTCCCACAACCTCTCCACTTACTGTAGCCTCCCGCGCCCATGTACTCTTAACAAACAAATAAATGATTAGTAAGTATTTTTGTCGCAGGGAGCTCATAGCATTTGTCACGGCTAACATTTTTTGTGCCTTTAAACGAAGCAAAGCCGATTGAAGCACAACGGAATTCAATCACTCTCCCTGGACTTCTTTACCGCCTTGAGAATTCTGACTACAGTAATCCGCACAGGCTATTGCACGAACATGTCCCTCGTAATCCAAGTTCCCTTTTTGCCATACACCTGTTGTGATGTATGTAAGTAATAGGGAAAGACGGCAAATGATGAGAATAATCCAAAGGTAAATACCGGGATTAAACTGGTGCTATGAGCGCTTCGTAGTGATAGCTTAGCTGCGGAACGACCTGAAAGTGGAAGGAAAGCAAGAGAAATCTTTGGGAACGCTGAAATTAAGGCCTTAACCTTCAATAAGGTCGGATGTGGTACGATGGCGAGACAGGGCGATCAAAGAAGACAAAATACGCGAGAGAGCACGTCGTTTGAGAGAGCACGCTGATCTCACCACATCTCGCGGTGGGTGGGAAGCGTTGCAACGGGGTCGATGGTTGCAGGCCCGTAAGGATTAGCGCCCTAACCGCGCAATTTTTGCGACGAAGCTGGAGTGATCTAGGTAGGTACGGACCTTACAATTTCCCTCGCGGTATCCTTCCTACTAGTCGGGCTAATCCCGGGGTTTGCCTTCAGTGCTCTTAGTCTGGATCGTGAAACATAAGTCGCACTCGATACTCACCAAAATACCCTTTCAAGCTGTAACTTGTGACGAAGGTAGAGCCTGAAAATTTGCAGACTTCGATGTAGTGCTCGAAAAAAATTCAACTTAGAAGTGTGAAAGTTTTGATGTAAACATTTTCGGATCAAACACACACGGGAGGATTTGAGGCGGTAAGATTGTTAGAGTGATAAGAGATGACAACTGGTAATAATCGCCTTGAAGTGGTATGACTTTCTTTTTCAAAGATAGTACAGGAGGAACATTACCCAAGAACGCAAAAGAGGGTGTCGTGCATTTAACGTTTGCGTTAAAAATACCGCATCCAGGTTTACCCGCTTCCAAACTCATCAGAGTGCCGAGTAGGAAACAAACACATCAAAAGCTATCGTATACTCTTTTTTTTTCTCTCTATCTCTTTTACTTTCTTCGCTGCAAAACTCATTATTCGTTTGCGTACGCGAGAAAGTTCTCCAAATCCGAAACAAAAATCAGTACAATTGATCGAATGTCGAACTTTTCAATCCACGCCGTGATATGAACGGTATTCGACGTAAACTACTGCGACCTAATTGGCTTGGCGCCCGGGCGACCATCGTGTCATGGAAATGGCCTGCGGGAGTCAGACTCCCATCCAGTGTGAATCACGCTACTCTAGAGAAGCGCACTGCTCCTGTAGAAGGTGGATGTTCACTTGTTCTGATTATTCTGAGCTCACCTACGGCATTGCCCATTCCCATCGATGTTGCCCCGATATGTGGGTCTCTAGTCGGGCCACTGATTTTCTAAAGAGCACCGCCCACTAAAGTACGTCTCGTCAACTGCGCCAGCACCATCTTATCCGAGATCCGGTTGCTCCACATTTTTCTGATGTGTAGTCTGATTCGCTACCCAGCTCGGAACTCAGTTTTTCTAACCTTGATACCACCTGGGCATACCACCGCACGACCCGCTCAAAGTGTTATGCGCCTTGGCCCATGCCCCACATCCATGCTAGGCTCTCGTTTCTCTTTAGGAGAATCAGATGCCAAGTAAAGCAGTCACACAACAGGCACACTAAAATTCTGGTGCATATAGTAAGGTTCAGCAACGTGAATCCCATCCCATCCGCTGATCGACCCCATTTGTGATGCGCCACGCATTTTTTTCCATTGAGAATCGTAGCAGCATCTTGAATGTGAGTTATGCTATACAGTGTCTTACGGGGTCCAGCCGATGTACATGTCAATGTTTTTTGTCTCGAATAGTTGGGGAATCCTCCCGAAGTCGAGTAGCAATCTCATCCCGGAGTTATGGAGGACTTGGTTGGCCTGGACGATCACTGCCGAACTCAGGATTTGATCGGACTGTGTGCGTGATTAGCAGCGCCATTGGCCACTACAGCACCTGCGCTCGATGTTTTTTCTTTGAGTGAGGAGCTTGATAAATTTGGGGAGGCCTCTAGAAGTTATAGGTAAACGTTGAGAAAGTCTCTGTGTAGCAAACCCTAACAAACACAACTTTACATCCTTAAAAAATGCAAGTCCAGCAGGATGAACAGATGAAAGGCAATGCCGAAAAAATGATCAGAACATCGAACAAGTGCAGGGCACGATGCCTTTTCAAAACCGCTCAAAATTGTCTTTGATGAATCTGACATTTGCTCGATAGATCCCTTTAGCACCTGCCAAAATGTACGAAAATGAGATCCAGCAATAATGTCCCTTCAAATTGACATCTCAGCCATTTGGTTTAATGTCACGACAGCCCCTTTGTCAACCTGTCGATCTCAGCAGCCATTCTACTAGCTGCTGCTAAGGCCGACAAGTTTTTGAGTGTTTTCCGAAATTACAATTTTTTTTGCGCGAAGTGGGCCACATAGTGTTCGTCGGCCATACTTAGCCTATCTATATAAAGGTGGATTCGATTTTCTGGGCCCGAAAGCTTTAACCGTTGTTTTGGTTGATGTGTAGTAATTGCGGGCTATCAGGCTGAAAATCGATCACAATTATTCTTCCACACTATTTATGTATAGGCTTCTATTTCCGAAATGTCGTTTCAGGTGCCCAGTGATGCCGTCGCGGGAATGCGTGCTCTCAGCGTGCTCAACCTCAAGTGCAACCGGATCGGTAATCTCACAAAATCTGTCTTCCAAAACTTGGACTCGCTGATTGACGTCAACCTGTCATGCAATGAAGTTCGTTTACATCAATAAAAATAAATATCACATTAAATGCTTCTTTTAAGGTTTGCGAAGTATCGTCAGATGTGTTCGACGGCGTGCGAAACACTCTACAAAATCTAATTCTCGACATGAACTGCTTGAAAATGTTCCCAGCAGGCGCAGTGAAGAATATGGAGGCTCTCATCGCTTTACATTTAAAAGGCAACAAGGTGATAACGCCCTTGACAGTGTTCTATATTTATAAAGAATCAGAGAAGCCTTCCGTCTGTTACTTAGAGGCACGGGTCGCGAACAGATTCGCAGGGAAATTCGCTCTTTGAGTGAGGTAGCGGGATCCGTAGCCATGGAGGGCTTGGTATTGTCACCACTTCAAAATGCGTGACAAAGGAGCTGATGCCTTCGCTTGACCGCTGCGAGCGCTGCCATTACACCACCCACAGCGTACGTGGTGTCTACGCCCTCTCATGTACGCATGCGCACTCGCGTCATCCCTCTCCTCGCAGCGCTGGGTCTCCGTGGGACCACGGTCAATCTCACAAGGGGAATTTGAGCGTTTTTCTTCTGTACTTTCATCTTTTCCCTATTAACCTTTCTCTTCGCCTTTGTTATCTAGTCTCCGGACTAAATAGCACAATAATTCGATCGATACCCGTGCCTTCGAAAAAAGGTATAATACGAGTAGTAAAACGGCAATTGATGCGTAGCGTAGAGTGGTCAGTTTTTATTATCCCACATTTGCAGTGCCAATCTGTGGTACTATCCAACTATTGCTGTCCCAGGGGTCTGCACTAAGGAAATCCCGAAAATGTTGACTTTTGCTGAAACTCTATAGTGATTTCCAGTACCGCAATCACGAATATCCTATCCGTCTTTGACGCAGCCGCGAATCGGTGCCAGTTTGGCGCTAGCATGGGGCTGAAGTGGTGCTAGAAACCGAGTGGAATGCAGCGTATCGTTTGGTTGGAACGCTTGTAAACCCTAATTGTTCACGAATTGTTTACACTAAGGTTGTGGAGAGATGTGGTGCATCGAATCGGACTCAAATGACACCAAATTTGGCGCGAGTGGCAAGTAATTAGGGTATCTTCTAATAGAATAACGTGATAAGCAAATATTTTTTACGGAGATTTAATGTAACGGTCGTTCTGCCGTTGTAGATAGACTATTAACAATTTTATTTGAAAGTTTAAAAAGCTATATTGTAGGGGTAGTCAAAAATTGGCGAGGAGAAATTAACAAACTACGTCATTGGCAAGCTATCATCAGCAATTACAACATTTACCTTTATTACATCCGTCTGTTACAGAACACACCAAATCTCAGATATGTGTACTTAGCAGGCAATAAAATTCAATCACTTGCTGCTGGCACAATGACTCAACTTAAACAAGCACAAGTAAGTTATTTCCCTAACCATTCCATCATCAATCCCACCTTCAGTATGTGATTTCCAGGTATTAGATCTTGCGTTCAATCAGTTATCTGAGATTGGTGAGGAAACCTTCAGTGGGTTAGAAAGTCTGCAACACCTTAACCTTGAAAGCAACAATATTCAGGTAAATCGACAAATCATTGTATTGGCAATTTAGCTCAAGCTTTGAGGGTTTGAAGCAGAAAAAATTGGAGATTTGTTAATCATTTTCAGCAAGAGAATAGTTTTGAGTAGCTTAGTTGTAAATAGTTCCCACGGTACAGAGCTGTAAAATCTGTGACTTTGGGGGGGGGGTGATCGCGGTTCGCGAAGGTCGAAGTTCGGAAGTTCGAAAGGCGGGTCGTATTTGTGGCAGTTGAGGATCGCTGTTGTGGGGGGGGGGGGCGTTTTGGCGTTTTTTTCTTGTGGTCATGGGGGCAATTACATGAAAAACAGAGAATTCGCGACTTCTCAAGACATTTGATCTCCCACTTCTTCGTTCGACGGCCATTTTGGAAGGAAAAATGGGCGGAGTTGGGCTGTGTCGGCTGGTCCCAGAGACAGTACCACAAAAACACCACAGATACAGCCATGAGCCGTGATGGGGAGAGTAGCGATTGGGGGTGGTAGGAGGTTGCTGGAGGACCCTCTGTTGGTAGGGGAGGGGTCGTGCCTTGAGAAAGTGCCGCCGTCACAATATCAGTGGATCATGAACAAAACGTTCGCCCCAGTGAGACTCGAACCCGACACCTCTCGCTTTCCGGGCAAGTGCGCTACCAGTTACGCTACCGGGGCACCATTTCATTCCAACTCAGCTTTTCATGGTATACGTACCATAGCTTATCAGCACTCACACGTCTAACGTGATGAGTCATTGGCAGTGAACCGCAAGGTTGAAGTTCCAGCAGATTTGGTTCAAATTTCTTTCAGAAAGAACGTCAATTTTATTTGACTCAGCTTTTTCGAAATTCTCGTTGATTTGTTGCTATAAAAGAAAATCAATAAGAATGGAATTCTCGTTCACTTTTTATTGCAATAATGGGTACATCGTTCTTTGATTGGGAGGTTTTATGAACGCTGTCAAGAGGCATCGCTTCGAGTTCGAATGTGTGTCATTAGGTTTAGTCGGTGAACGTTCTCTGACCTTAGGAGGAAAACCATACAGCTGTAGAAAATGATATTTTTCCTTTATATACTTTACCTTCCTTTTACCTTATTATACTTTACCTTCCTTCTATATTTATAAATCCGCAGTCACATACTGCAGCTTACGCGAACATTGAAAATATTTTTTGTATGTAGCACTTGATTTCAATTCAACCTGACGGAGTCTGAATGAAATGAATTTCCTCTGCGAATGATTTCGTTTCAGTCGATTGCTTCTGGAGCCTTTGCTGGGATCCCGCTGCTGCTATTATGGCTGCCCAACAACTGTCTGAACTCAGTAACTCCAGCGACGTTCCAAGGAGCACTTTTCTTACGGCAACTTTCTCTCGCCAATAATAACATCAAAGAGATTCAGGTAAGTATGATGCAATTAGTCCTACATGTTCTAGCAGGATTCTGGATTCAGCAGTTGAAGCAACAGCTCAGCAGGACTTCCACCATCAACACAAATGGTGTGGAACGATGCGCTAGCCCTAGTCTAGAACATAAGACCACTGGAAAAGGAGCTGAACGGCTTCGAAGTGGGCGTGGTTGCTCAGTCGGCTGCAATCCCCTCGGCCGACTTCCAACCACGCCCACTTCGAAGCCGTTTACTGTTGCTTCAAAGACTGTGAACCGTGATTGACATTAGACGCAAAATAAAAAGTATTACCGTTAGAATGCAAATACTGTGGCCTGGTGTAAGCAGAACACTAAGGTGAACAGCGTGCTCGATTCCAAGGAGATTTTACGTCAAAGTTGTGCACTATTCTCAACTAAGTGCTATCTGCAGAGAAAGCCATTTTCCACTAGTAACGCGATTTTTGACAGAAGTGGGTTTTTGATGCGAGCGACAAAAAATTGCAGGTAAATGCAATGAATGAAACGGGTTTTTCGAAGATAACGTTATGATTTACGCCTATCACAGATGGAGTACCCGACAACCTAGCCCTTTATAAGGCCGATGTCAGACTTTGCGAATCGCGCGATTCGCTACTAGCGATTCGCGCGATTCGCTAGCGTCCGCGGTCGCGTTGCGGTACCAGCCAATTGAGTGATTCACTGGCCGCGACGCGACCGCAGACGCTAGCGAATCGCGCGATTCGCAAAGTCTGACATCGGCCTAAAATTCCTGATCAGTATCCATAAGAATATTCACGCCTCTTCATTCACCACCTTGCTAATCTGCACACGGTTGACCTTGCGAACAACAGAATTCGATCTCTACAACAAGGAGCGATCCAGGGATCGGATCACCTCACAGTGAGGCTTCAAGGTGAGCACTACCAGCGAAATGCTGCACAATGACAAACAACCTTTTCAACATATCCTCTTTACAGAAAATCCAATGGTATGCTTGCAAGATGGATTCCACGTCATGAACGGTAATCAGGCAATCAACCTGACAACAGAACCAAATAACATCTGTAAAACTAACTGGCGCGATGAGAGCGACAAAGTGTGCTTGAAGGTGAGAATACTGTAAGTAGCATGTAAATTGCTAATATATTGAGTATAATTTCATTTCAGGCAACTGCGAGCCCGGTGACATTACAGTGCTGCAAACGAAATTCAGTGGCAATCAGTGCACTTATAACATCTACTGCTGCTCCTGCTACAACATCTATGGAAGAGGACGAGGCTGAAGACGAGAAGGAAACGGAGGAGAAAGAAGATGGAGAAGATGGTGTGTTGCACAACTGATGAGAAGTATCAGCCAAAACAGTAAAAGCAATTTGTAGAAGGAGAAAAGCAAGCAGCAGCACGAGCACACTCGAATGAGGCAGAAACAACTATTGAGACGACCAGGTCAAGCTCAACTCATCACACCACAAGAATTCCAACTAGAACGGTGATTTTACATTCGACAAAAGGTTAACAGTCACGCTGGTGAAACCTCTAGTTGGAACAACCCTACGCTCTCAAAAAGGGGGTTCTTATAGTACCCTCTCTGTCCAAGGGACGGTAGTGTCGATAGTATCATTGAACCTGCTATTATTTGACATCCTCCCGCAAAACTCCTTCTGGCGAGGAGGGTTAAGGGGAGGCCGTATAGTCGGGAGTCGGGACATATTCAGCTGCTCTCGCGGCAAATTCTACAAATTTCGCAAATTTCCATCCTTTTTAGCACTTTTGGTGGGAACAGTTCAGAAAACTCCCCCACCCAACAATTTCAAAGCAACCTCCAGCCGTACAAGCGCGTCTCCTCAAAGTTCCATCACAATGATTCCTCTTGGAACGCAACAGAACACCCATATCGAAAAAATCAGAAGTACAATCTCCCCCACCCACGCTCCCGCGCTCCCCCCCCCCCTCCCCTCCACCTCGCTGGGTATTTTCCAACGGACGGTTGACCTTGATTCGACAATTCATTTTTGATGCAATGTGGTGAACAATACAATACAGGTGAACATGGATCGTTTCTGGAGGTTATCGCATCGGCCTGCTGCTGATATTCCACGACGTCAAACCAGTGCAGTGTTGAGATCCAGATATCTGGCTACGGTTAGCACATTAGCTAATTTCTATAGTGTTACGAACTCTTGTATTTTAAACGAAGAGACTTTAGAATGCGAAACAATCAGAGCGGACGCGAAAAAATTTCGAAAGGGAAGAAGAGGAAGATGAAAATGAGGAAGCAAAGTGATGAAGAAGACGCTGAAGAGGTATCTTTTGCAAATTTCAAAGACATGGTACGACAAATTGGATTTTGAAAAGGGGAAAGCGTAGGGAGCTTTGGCCCCTCAGTGACGGGACTGGTACTTTCGTGGCGAAGGACACGCCCGTAGTGGACTAGCAAGCTAGTGTTCACCGCCTTCGTGGGAACCCTTTTCCAGGTGGCGGGCTCGGCTGTGATTGGCTAGAAGGGGATCGCCGTCTGCGGCGAAGGAGTATGGAAAGGCACAGCAGGAAAGGGGTTCTACTCCATGGATTTT